GCTTCCCTGTTACAACCCTGAGCAGTCAGTGAATGTGCGCGCTGATCTCTGGATCTACAGTGTTTGCTCGGTGCAGTTTTCTACGGTTCTGATGATAGCCTAACTACTGCCGACTAAACTAATCAAAGCACCACAATGGGAATAATTTGGTCATGAAATTGAATAGAGTTGCTGACAGAAAGAACACGAGGATGGGAGGCAATCCGACATCGCAGAATTAGGACTACAGACAGTGTAAAACTCACTTTAGGACAGTGCTGTAAACGGCTACAGTCACGTGACCGTTTTTGTTTTGGCCGCCATATTGACGGCCCCGGTAGCTAGCATTCCAGTAACATGGCTTGTCTGTGGTTGGGTCATAAATTCCCTGATTTATTGCAGCCAGTGTGCGAAATACAGGGTTGCCCCCCAGGTTAACCCATCACACCTCCTAAAAAGCCTAAAAAAATGTTTTATATATAATATAATACAATATAATATAAATATAATAATCAATATAAATATAATTAGTCCAGAAGACGCCTTCCCATACCCACCAGGACAGTGTCAGCCCAATGTTCCCGATGTTCCTCCAATTGCGAAAGGTATCTATATTCCCCGTTAAAACCACGGGGCCGTCCTCCATGAACTCATAAAACACAAAAAAAAGCAGCATGTTGAACACAACTCACCACACATCAGCCCGGAGCAGAAGCACTGAGTTCGGGTAATGGCAGCAGCCAATAGCGCTAAAGACACAGGTGCACTCACCGTAGCGCGTAGCCCCTCAAGACGGGATTGGGGTCTGGTCCTTGGTCTTGTGCTGTCCTCCAGGTGCATTGGTCAGATAGGTCTGGACACTTCCAATATGTCCTGGTTCCAGACGGGGGCGAGCAAGACCAGTGCACAATGGACTGGGTCCGAGCAGTTCCATCCCATCATCTGCGCACTGGTTCCATGCGGGGAAAGCGAAATTGCGCTGTGGACAACAGGTTCAGACGGGCTGCTCCGGTCCTCCGTGCTGGAGTACTGCGACTGGTCCCAAGGTGGTGCAGCATCCGGACAGAAGCGTGAATCCCATTTGGTTGGTTATATGTTGTTCTGAGGACTCTGTCCCCCGCACGCTTAGTGAAACTTGGGGAAAGCGCTTCTCAGGCCAAGGCACCTAACATCACTTCCCGCTCCAGCTCCTCTGAGCCCAGCCTGAACCAGAGCTGCTCCCGCCAGGTCAGGACTCTTGGTTTCGATCTAGTCCGACTGTAGCATTTCTCACACTAGGTTAAATGCAGTTCATTTTATAAGGTGAATCAATTGAATAGGGCCTATTAAGTTTAGGCTCATTTTGGTCCGGGGGTCATATCCAACCTACTTTGATCCCAAAGGGGCCGGATCAGAAAACTCATGGCATATATACCCCAAAAATAGCAATAAGTAAAAATATTTGTGCAGAGAAATGCAAATCTATTACAGAAATCTTTTTTAATTGATGAACTCTTTCTTTTACAAAATATTATAATATTATGAACAACCTGAAACTTAAAAAAAAAATGCAATTTTAACACAATGTTTAACATAATTAGCAAGTCTATTTTTCTTGGAAAATCCTGCACTCAGCCTCCACTTTTCTCATTTTTGTCATTTTGCTGATGAGGGTGTCACGGTCAACAGTCAAAACGATAGTCTTTCACACCGACAGTATTTGGTGCGCACCAAATGGTCCATTCGAACCAAAAGCTCTTAGTTCGGGTCATTTTTGTTGGTGTAAAAGCGTCAATCGAAGTCGGACCCGCACCAAATCAAGCGGACCGAGACCTCAAAAAAGAGGTGGTCTCGGTTTGTTTGAATCCACACCAAATGCCAAACTCTGGTGCGGTTCCTCTGGTGTGAACGCAAACTTGGGTCCAAATCATAGACAGTAGGTCCAAACGAACTATGCCAAATGCATCATGGGAGGGGAGATGTGTGGGGAGATGTGGAAATGACGCGCTGTATGACTCCAGCGCAGTAACAGATTGTTGTCCAGGCGCAGCCGCGATTCATTTTCGAATTATTTTGCCAACAATGGGCAATACAGAGAATGTAGCACATGATGATCAGAGCAAGAACCAATGCGTGAACGAGTCAAAATTATGAGTGCGTACCCCTGTTCAAGACCTGCATGCACAGAGAGGTCCCGGTGTTCCCCGTGTTCATGTAGCAACCAGCATTTGTTATTTTAGGCTATTAATTAACCAAATCATTTTATGGCAATAGTTAATAGCCTATTCAATTGATACAACTTCAAAAATGCCCTACTTTTAGCCTAGCCGCTTGGACCCAGTCCACTACGCATTGGTATTGCTCGCCAATGTCTGGAACCAGCACATGGAGGATGGAGCCTCTGGACCATCTGACCAACACGCTCGGAGGACCAGACCAAGGACCAGACCCCAGCCCTGTCCTGAGGAGCTGCGAGCTATGGTGCTCCTCATTATCGCTATTGACTGCTGCTGTTGCCCGAACTCAGAGCTTCTGCTCCCGGCTGATGCGAGTTTGTACAAAGTTTTATGAGTTCCTGATGATAACTTGAGATGAGGACGGCGCGTGTTATTAACAGGGAACATCGGTATTGGTAACTGGAGGTATCGCTGTTTTCCCGGGAAACAGAGGCACATCAATCGGACCAATTTTGTTTCGTTTGCCGGTGTGAAAGCGGACCACACTGGAGTGTATTTGCTACATAATAACAATTTTATTGCCTTGTGCCGACCAAGTAAAGAGGCAAGTCTTCATTTGTGCTGCTCTGGTGGGAGACGGCAACACACAGATGCGCTGGAGACGCTGTTATGCTAAGCGGCGCAGAAAATTTCTAATATTTTAATAGAAAATTTTATTAAAATATTTTTGTAGAAAATGATCTGAGGGCCAGATTAAAGGTCTTGGAGGACCCGGCCCCCGGGGCTATATGTTTGACACCCCTGATTTAGGCTGTCTGTGGTATCCACCGTGATGTCTTTTACTTTTTTCACATTTGAGTCTGTATTGCTCAACAATTCAGAGATGGTGACCCCCATGGAACCCCAGAATATTGACGGGTATTTCGCACACTTGTCTGTCAGCTTCAACCGGGATCCGATACAACTGAACCCATGTCTTTATCTTTCTGCTGATTACAGCGCTGTGTGCAACACTTTTTCGGCGTGTGTCTTAATGTGAAAATTAAAGGAACAACTCGAAAATGTGCTAACTTTACAGTGGTGGTCTATTGGCGGTCTGACATCACATGCAGGTTCTTTATAAAGCCGTGCTGAGCCAATACAGGAAGCAGGCGAGAGGCTGTGCTCTGCTGCGGGAGGGCATCCGGACGGCGCACAAACATCCCACACGGCGCATGTCTTGAGCATGTTACACATTGTTTTTCAGTGGACTAGTTTGATATTTATTTTTACGATTCTGTCAATTCACTGAGCTCGCCACACCACGCCCTCAGTCCGCTCCACTCCACCCGATATTCAGGCACGGCACACCTGTTTAGAGCTCCATGCCCCACACACCAAAGCTAAGATCGGAGGCAAGATCTGGGAACAAGAAAAACATTTAATTTTACTTTAAATTTTTTTATTCATTTCATAGTAAACTTCTGTGAGCAAATGAGGATTATATTGATATTACAAACTGAAAAAATGTGTGCTGCTTCGGGAAGATCGCTAAAATGACATAAACAAGGCCCAACATTTGGTTTGGCTACATTCACATTTCATTATATTATAATATAGAATGCTGATTTTCTAAGTCAGTACATCACAGTGCGTGATGCGTCCCCCTCTCCCGGGCACAGCAGGTACCTGTGTGCCGCCTAAGAGGAGGAGGGGGACCTTCCCACTGAGAATGGGACACTCGAGCCGGGACTTTCAAGCCAATGGGACGTTCAAGATGGTGTTCAAGCGGATCTACATATTTGCCCAAAATATCAGCAGAGATTATCAGCCTTTGGTTGCTTTGGATACTACACAATTGGTATCATCATCAGCCATGAAAAAAACTACATAGGTCGATGTCTAATTAAAATAAAATATTCTGTTTATTGAATTGGTGCCTAAATATTGTCTCAAAACAAGAAACTGAAACCATGGCTGAAAGTTATGGATACTCTTGTTGTTTTCTTTTTTTTTTTTCTATGTTTCTCATGTGCTATAGATGTTCTGTGTGCTTTTATTTCATGTCAGGGGAAATGTCCATGTTAAAACCACAGCACAGGCAGCCTTTGATCCCACTTTGTGTCATGTTTCAGTCTGCAAGATCAATTTCAGTGTGTCCTTGACAGCAAGCGCCCTTCCTAGTGAAAGTTTAATCAGCATGCCACATAGCCAATTTGGATGTGCAAAATATTGCTGCTGAAAATGAATCATAATATTTATTTCAAAATTAACTTTATTGTAAAAAGGAAAAAAACAACAGCAACATGATATCGTTATTTGGCCTGGAAAGGTCTCACTGGGATTTGGAAGAATCTCTTTTTCAGGCCCCAGTGCAAGAAACTCTAGTAGCATCTATCATGAGTCATAGAATAATAAGGAATTAGTCTTATGTAGTGCTTTTCCAGACGCTCAAAGTCGCTTTACAATTTCATGCATTATTCATTCACTCCATACCCAGTGGTGGTACGCTACTATTGTATTGCCCTGGGGCAGACTGACAAAAGTGAGGCTGCCGATCTGTGCCACTCTCGCACACACTACGTTTGTACTAAGTGCGTACAAGAGTGTTACTGGTGGTCGGAGCCGGAGGGACCCTGTGACCCTGTCACAACACTATGTATCAATATCTGCTCTGAGTCTAAAAGCAACTCTGTCAGTCTGGTTTAGTTATTTTTGCTCATGTCTCGACTTAGAAATCAGTGTTGTTAAAGCTAAATGAACAATTTTGCAAAAAGTATCCATACTAAGTTGTTTACAAAAGTTATAAGTAATGGCCAGTCTCTTCTTTCCTAAATAGTAATATCGAATGTCTGTGTTTATAGTAGTTCTTCTTTCTGTGTTCAGAGTGCCAAAGGGTATGTCCTCATGTTCGATGTGCTGGGTGGAGGAGACGACCGCTGTCTCTATGAGCCTGTGTACCCGAGGTGAGTTCTGAGAATTTAATCCTCATTTTCACTAGTGATAGGGTATGCTTAGTGAATCAAATGAAACAGAAAATGCTCACCAAATGCTCACGAAGTGCACACCAAATTCCGATGGCCAGTGTCCCAAACTTTTTAAAATTTTAGATTACGTTTCAGCAAAAAGCCTTCGACTGGTTCTTTTTATTCTTGGGACCACAGTGGTCTAAAGGATGGGCAGTTCTTTGGATGTTTTCTGACCAATAAGGTATCTTCTTCCCCAAAATGTTTGATAACTCCTCCTGACCTAGATTGTGCATGAACCAAGACTTAATGTGGTGTTCTTCTCTGTGGGGCTCACATTCCACAGCCACATACTGAGGTAGTGGGGCAAGTCTAGACTGATTCAGTCATTCTGTTCTGTAACATAAATTAACTTTAGCTCTTTTCCTATTGTTTCTTGATAAATATAAATATTACATCTTTTTGGTACAGGGGGAGTTCTCGTATGAAGCTCAACCCAGGTTATAAGGAAGAACAATGTGCGCCCGCTTTGTCCTTAGAGATGAAGAAGCCTGTGGATCTGGAAGCCCCCATCACCAGGTAAATGCATGTGCCTGTATCTAATCTTATTTTATCCCTCCCCTCACACTGCCTGTAGCACACCCAGGCCTGAAGACCTGAATATCCATGTGCAACATTTTTATTCATTATTAACACACAATTTCTCATCTTATTTATGAATATTTATTGAACATATAAGTGCAAAAAACACCCTAAAGAAAGTGGAAAGTAAACTATCTATATTGCTCTCATTTAGATCTCATTTAGAGATCGGTTGGGTATTAAGTTTTTCGCAAGTTATTTATGTCAACAGTTGCTGGGATTTCAGGTTTTGTAAGTAAAACCATTGGGGTTTAGCAGCAGTGTTTTCTCAAATTATCCTAATTAGCCTAATTTTGAATTTCCATTTGAATTAGTCGCAATCTATTTGTTCTAGTCAAGAGATAAATTAATGGAATGAAAGTTAGATTAACATCACAACTTCCAAACAACAAGACAGTGGTGCTCACATTATGTCATTTCTAAACACAAAGCCTTGTTTGTACTCTTCAGTGATTTGGTACAATAAGCCCTGGTACCAGCAATAGTGTGGTATCATCACAGCTGGACAACCAATGCTTTCAAATAGGGTTGGTATTATGGAAAAAATTAACATCGCTGTTTTTCTTAGTATATTTACATTCTCTTTAAAGAGTCGGTAAGCTTACTGCTGCTTCTGAAAGCAGTTTGAACATAGAGCTGCTTTCAACAGAGAAACACTAAATTGCTATTACGAGATTACAAATAAAGCCTATTGTCGCAGAGCTCATATCATGATTGAGTTTTTATCTTCATATTGTCTTAGCCTGATTTATCAGCCGGTTTCACTTCTGGGAAACCACCTGACCTCGCAGCATTAAGTTGGCCTGTTCGATGGCTTGGTAGGCCAGTACTTTTTTAATTTATCCAATCGCTGCTATTTGGTCGTGACATACATAATGCAGCAGAACGCTCAGTGGTGTCCAAGTAATTGCCGGCACAACAGCAAATAAAGCACAGAGTGAAAATCCTCCATCTCGGGAATCGTTGTCAACACAGAATGTATGGCTTCATCTACATCCATCTCGACTACTTTTACTGTTGTGCTGTGCCACAAAAGGGAACCAGACAGGTGCTTGAGTTTGATGTCATGGCTTCACAGCTCTTCGCTGATTGGCCAGTGCACGATCTACAACTTCCGGGGTTCATGCAAACCATCTAGTGTATTCAGATTCCTGACCTAGTTGCTGGAGAGAAATGAAATTGAGCAGAGGCCCTAATAATATTGTCCACTAATGGACAGTAAATGTAATGTTATGTACCTGTTATTAATTTATATCTGTTTCTGTTTTGCATTAGTTTGCAGACTCTTCAAGAAGATCTGCTCGTGTGCACAGCTGACGGCTATCTTCACGTGCTGCACTGGGACGGGCTTGGAAGCAATGGGCGCAAAACCATCTGCCTTACTACAATCCCCTTCTCACTAGACCTTCAGTCTGCCCGAGGTTAGACCATAGAATACACATGCAATCAAAACATCACAGTTAAAGAGGCTGTATTACATTATTTTCTGATCTCTATTGCAATGTTGTTTCCTCATCACTAACATACAGTACCTACGTATTAATGATAAAGAGTTACACTTTAAGCCATGTTAGAATGTCGTTATGTAATCAAACCATGTGTTTTGTTTCATTCACACATGTTTGAGTAGCCCTTTATTATTAGTCTGTCTACATCTCCAGAGCTCAAAATGCTCTATTCCACCTTGTAATGTCATGAAGTGAGTGTTTTCAAGTTTCATTGCTCATTTTTACCTTAAATTCAGTAGAGATGGGCAATTGCAGGACTGAAATCATCCAAATGATACGAGAGAAGGTGTAAAAACACAGTGGAGCACTCCCTGTATTATTACATGCTATCACAAGGTGGAACAGGGTGTTTTCAGTTTGAAAGTCAGCCAAAATATGTGTGTAACATGTGTGAATGAAACAAAACACAAATCCAGGTATGTTTGTGTTGAGGAATCAACATTTCTACATAGATCTAAAAATAGTAATATGGGCCGTTTAATGAGTGCTGGCCAATGCTCTTCAGTGCATTCCCATTTTGGAATGTTTCATAAATGTATCCATCTGTAGGTGGTCCCTCTTTGGATCTGGAGGGAGTTTATATTTGCTGTATGGAGTATTGCATAACTCTGGATGGCTTTGCTGTGGTATTAAGTGATGGACGACTGGGATTCATCACTCCACTTAGCAACACTATTTCAGCCGATGTAAGAACTTATATTTCTTGAATATTTGTGATTTCAACTGGGATTAAAATACTCTTGTATTGTGTTCTGTTTTTATTAATGTCTTCTTCTCTCAGCAGCTACAGGGCGTCTGGGCACCTGATGTGACTGACGGTACATATGTTGCTGTCAACAACAAGTACAGACTGATGGCCTTTGGCTGTGCAAGGTAAACCCCCTTTTCTCTGTTCCATCTTGGCCCTTCACTTCCAGTTTTTTTTTGCGTCTGTGAGACATGGAATACCATATTTCATTTCATTTCCTCTCTAATATCCTTTATTTCTTTAAAATGCTTCCATGGGGCTGTTTAACTATATTCTCTTGTTACATTTTTTAAAACATTATAGACTGTTGACAAGATTACTTCCTCCAGAGCAAACCTTCCATTAACGATGAAAAAAGTTCTTAAAACAAGCTGACAGCTACAACTCTTTTATTTATCAAAGTCTGGCAGTGCATTAAAATGGTTAATACTGTACTTGTTTGTTACAGTGGTTCCGTGCTGGTTTACACAATTGACACCACAACAGGATTCATGCAGCTTTCCCACAAACTGGAACTCACCCCCAAACACTACCCAGGTCTGACATTTTACTGTTACTCCTTTTATTTTTTCCTGTTCTACTTTTAGCCTCCAAAATCTAACCTGGGGCCTATTAAGACTTTTTTTTTTTGCAGACATTTACAATAAAACAGGTGCAGTCAAACTCATTTGCTGGTCACCTGACTACAGCGTTGTCATGGTTACATGGGAGTGTGGTGGCTTATCATTATGGAGCGTCTTTGGTGCACACCTCTTTTGCACTCTGGGAGAAGACTTTGCGTAAGTAAGCACAACTTCATTAGACTAAATGAAGACTGTTAATTGATTTGACAACTGTTTTTACACAGACACCGTTCAGATGGAACAAAGAAGGATCCCATTAAAATCAGTTCTATGGTTAGTGGTCTTTATGTAATAAGACCATGTTATAATTTGCACCATATGTTCATAAGTCTTTCTATTCAGAGCTGGGGAGCAGAAGGTTATCATCTGTGGGTTATCCCAAACAAAAGTGAGAGAAGAACAGAGGAGGAGCAGGTGGTCCAGGATGAAGAGCTAAAAACCCCTCATAAAAACCCCTCGTCTTGTCTGCAAGCTGGCATTTTTCAGTTTTACTTCATAAAGAGTGCCCTCACAGTTAACCCTTGCACGGTGTGTGGATTAATACATAACATCAAATTAGTGTGAACAAAGCTAACCATTTTTATCCCATTCAGCAGAGTAACCAAGAGCAAGTGCTCCTCCATGGGGAAGACCGCCTCTACCTGACCTGCGGTGACCCTGCACAGGTCCACAGCTCCCTGGACACACACCAGCCCCCTAACCGGGACTCCTCCATCTCTCAGGGACTTAGCACTTTATTGGGACACAAGCACTGGCATGTAGTTCAGGTGGGACAGATATTCACATCTGCATTAAATGTATCCCCTTCTCAATGCCTTTGATCACTGTGCTTTAAAAGGCTATTAATGCAAACTCTTTAATGTTTTTTTAACAGATTCACAGCACATACCTTGAAAGCAACTGGCCCATACGGGTAAGTTAAATAACAGTAATTTTTTGTAGTCATAGCCAGTCCAGTTAGTCCAATTTCATATTGGTGTGTGCTTAAGCACTGGCAATAAACAAAACTTTATTAGCTTACTAAAGCCCATTGATTTAGCTCAAATCTAGATTGAATGTTTACTCTCACTCAAAATGAATTCAGACAGTCAGCATTTTTTGTCAGTTTATCTTAAGGCAATACTATATAATGCGTGTTTGTTCTCTTGTAGTTTGCAGCTATAGATACAGCAGGCCAATGCATGGCTGTGGCAGGAAGGCGGGGTTTTGCACATTACTCTTTATATACAAGAAAATGGAAACTATTTGGAAATGTAACTCAGGTATGTCACATCCATCAGTACAATCGTAAATTATTTAATGACAAAAAATGAGATGTTGCCTGACTTAAACACTTAATCTAAACAGGAGCAGAATATGACCGTTACTGGGGGTCTAGCCTGGTGGAATGAGTTTGTGGTGGTGGCCTGTTACAGCTTTAATGACCAGCAAGAGCAAGTGAGTAGCAAACAAACAAACATCTGTTGCAACGTATTTGTTTTTAATAACCGGGTTCATTTCTTTTGACCCTTCTCCAGCTGAGGCTGTACCTGCGGACATCAAACCTGGACAACGCCTTTGCCTCCGTCACAAAGTTACACTCTGATACTTTACTGCTGAATGTTTTTAGAGACATGGTCATTCTGTTCAGAGCAGACTGTTCCATTTGTCTCTATAGTTTAGAAAGGAGGAATGACAGGTAGGTTCTTGAATGTCAGTAGTTGAGATATGTACAAATTATACTAGTATTAGTAGTAGTAGTATTAAGGAGGGTGAATTGATATTATAGATTGGAATTAAGAGTTCTAAATTCAAGCAGGAGTCACTTGGCCTTTGTGAGTGTTTAGCTTTGATTAGAAGTAGAGTTTTGGGGCATCAGATGTTGAGAAATATTACCAATCCAGTATAATCAATTATCTAAGTTAATTAATTAATAATAATTAATAATAATTCATTAAACAATTCAGTTCTAAAGTTCTTAAATTCTTGTCCAAATCAGTGACCCATCCTATCTGGAAATAACATCACTATTCACCAAAGTAAACTGTGGTTTATGAATATTTATTGATCAAGTTAAACAGACAGCATTTTGGATATGGAATATGCAAATGAGTGTAGTCTACTTAAGACTAGTGAATAAAGATTAGAGTTGCAACTAACTAAAGTTAACTGATCAATTAAGCCATTCTGTGATATCCGTGCATACAACCAGGAGAGTCTAGATGTTAGTCATGGTGTGTCAGAGGTCCAGTGGTTTGGAGGAAAAATCGAACGAGCTAAGATGGACAGAGGCCACGTGAGGCCACGTCCAGGCTCAGGCAGCATCAGGCTGAAGGAACACTGTATCCTCTGTTTAAAGAGGAGCAGAAGACACCTTCCAAGTGTCTATGAGGTCTGAGAATAGCACTGTCACAGATTAAGACTAATTAAATCAAAAGCTATTGACTACAAAAATGCATATATTTGAATTTGGAAAAATATGAAAGCATTGTTTTTTGTCAGATCAGCTACAGCTACAGTAATTTGGTTGAAAACACATCAAAAGACAGGCACATATTTGAAGAGAGAACTGAAACTTGTCTCTCTGGAATCTTTGCCCAGCAGAGAAGATAAGGAAGTCCTCTGTCTTCCCGTTTCGCTGTCCTCTCTGGTCAAAGGTCCGAGTTGAACTGATTCCTTGAACCGAGTGGTGTCTCCTTAACTTAAGTTTTAGAGGGGGAAGGCATGAGTGTGACTCAGCTAAAGTTAGGGGGTGAGGAGAGGTCTGATCTCACTTGCATTAAACATTAACAGTTTTACACAAATAAAACATATTCACATGACAATTACAGATCAATATTCAAACAACAGTGACAATATTCACGGCATAAACCGTTAACTACATTCCTCTCCTTTCTGTGGAGAAGGTCATTATTTATTGATTGTTTGAGGAGTGTCTTTTATTTTTGTCTTAGTTGTGACTAGTTTATCTGAGTTTACTTCAGTCAGTTGGTTTCTTTGTAGGAAAAACTTTGTAGATCTTGTGGCTCTTTTGGAGAGTCTTTGTGGAGGAGAAGTTAGATTGTCTTGCTTGCACACAAGTCTCTATCCATCTTATCTTATCAATCAGCTCTAAGGTCCAGAGAGCTGAAGGAAGGCAGGGGATGGTTGTTCATCCACAGTCATAGAAGGCATACTTAGCCCAAACTACCGTACTTGATTTGAGGAAAATTTCCATCTTAATATTCTGATACCATGGTAACAGTGAAGTACTTCTCACAGTTTCATAGGGGTCAGTTCATATGAAATCAGCTGTTTTCAAGGAATCTCCCCTATCAGCCATCTCAGATTTGGCTGAAAAAATTTCTAAAAATTTCTAAAATCACCAAATAAAAGAATCTAAAATTTTAGCTCAATCCCTTGAGTCGTTCCTGAATTATGGCCCGTTGAAATTTTGGGGCCATGCTCACTTTTTCTGAAGCCTTAATTTATAAGCATGTTTGAGAGACCATAACTTCATAAAAAATAGAGCTAGGAAGCTGAGATTCTTTTATTTGGTGATTTTAGACATTTTTTTTTTTTTATTTCAGCCAAATCTGAGATGGCTGATAGGGGAGGGCGGCTGATTTCATATGGACTGACCCATAGGTCAAAATAGGGACACTACAATATCAGATCTCATATTTTGCGTTATTACTGCATATGTTGTATCTGCTAATCTGTTTCAGCCCAAGCCCCTCGGTTAATGTGGAGTTGCTTCAAGAGGTGTCCATGTCACGCTACATTCCCCATCCTGGTCTGGTTGTCTCTGTGACTTTGACATCTGTACGGACAGAAACTGGCATCACGCTGAAGGCCCCGCAGCAGGTGAAACTCATTGCATTTACACTGGTTACTTAAAGGTGCACAAGAACATAGTGACTACGCTATGCATAATTTAAATTCCAGGCGTGCATGGCTGAAAGCATCATGTTAAATCTGGCTGGCCAGTTGATTATGCTCCAGAGGGATCGTTCAGGGCCACAGGTACGAGAGAAGGAAACTGCTATGAACAACAAAAAGCCGGTATGTTTTCCCAAATGCATAATTGCTGTTTTGTATGTACTGATGCATGTTGATTTATATATTTGTTTCTGATTATGAACTGGAGACCCAGTAGATCAGCCAACTGCGCCCTCAGATATAAGGGAAACACATTTATTAACAATATTTGTTGTACATTGCCAACAGAAACGATGTCCAATCAAGGATCTAAGCTCAAAAGTTTGCATATTTATGTCCACCTTCTGTTTTGTAGTTTTCATTATAATGTGTTGAGTCACGTTGTGTTCAATAGGAACAGGGCATTTCACATAAAACTCATAAAATCACATCATGTGACATGTCGACAGGCTTGTTAGGCCATACCTCAATCTATACAGGGAACAATTTAGAGAGAAAGCGTTATTATAATGACATAACAGAGCAAGGGGCTGTGACAGGAAGAATTAGGGAGACCATTGTTTTAGTACAAGATGCTGATTCATAAATGTACACTTCCATATCATAAAGCTTGAAAAACAAGTCAACTGTAATGCTGAAATAGATCCTAATTTAGTGGTATTTTCCTCTTACAGCTACCTTTTTGTCCACCTGTTGTGCTGGCTCAGTGTGTAGAGAATGTGTGGACAGCCTGCCGCTCCAACAAGAAGAAGCGCCACCTGCTGGAGGCCTTGTGGTTGTCCTGTGGTGAGGCAGGGATGAAAGTGTGGCTTCCACTGTTTCCTAGAGACCACCGCAAGCCCCACTCCTTCCTTTCGCGACGTATCATGTTGCCGTTCCATATAAACATTTATCCATTGGCTGTGCTGTTTGAGGATGCACTTGTGCTGGGGGCATCGAATGAGACTGTACTGTATGATGGGCTGCAGGCATCCTCTGAGTCACTAGAGGCACTATTTCCTTACTGCACAGTGGAGAGAACATCCCAGATCTACCTTCATCACATCCTGAGACAACTGCTGGTTCGCAACCTGGGGGAACAGGTACATCCCCTCTTTATTATGTATATATTAATGTTTGAGTTGTGTAACCTAGAATGTTTTTGGAATAAAAACAAAATAGAATTAAGGCAGACAGAGAAGTCAAAATTTCCACCAAATGTTTTGAATCTGTGGAGGGAGGTAATGAGTAATAGCACATGGGTTGTGTTTCTTTTCTTTATTGTAGGCTTTAATGCTGGCCCAGTCCTGTGCCTCTCTGCCGTACTTTCCTCATGTCATGGAGTTAATGGTGCATGTGGTATTAGAAGAAGAAGCCACATCACGGGAGCCCATACCCGACCCTTTACTGCCCACTGTGGCCAAGTTTATCACAGAGTTCCCCTTGTTCCTTCAAACCATTGTTCACTGTGCCAGGAAGACGGAGTACGCCTTGTGGAATTACCTATTTGCCGCTGTGGGCAACCCCAAGGATCTGTTTGAGGAGTGTCTGATGGCTCAAGACCTAGACACTGCAGCCTCCTACCTTATTATTTTGCAGGTAACATTTTGTTGTACATTTCCATGTTATGGTCAAACAACATTATCTTAACCTATAGATTGAATTTTTTTATTTTTATTTTTTATTCAAGAACATGGAGGTCCCAGCAGTGAGCCGGCAACATGCCACTTTACTATTTAACACTGCTCTTGAACAGGGCAAATGGGACTTGTGTCGGCACATGATCCGATTTCTCAAAGCCATTGGTTCTGGGGAAATGGACACACCACCTCCCACTCCTACCACTCAGGTGAAGTTTGATTATTGTGATAGAGCATTGTGTGGTATTTGAATCCCAAATTAGCATTACTTCTTTTTAACAGGACCCCACCTCAGGAGGGTTTGAGTTTTTCAGAAATCGAAGTATTAGTTTGTCCCAGTCAGCAGACTCTGTTGCTACAGGCAAATTCAATCTTCAGAAGACTTTCAGCATGCCCAGTGGGCCTTCTGTAAAAGGGTACGATTACAAATAATTTACAGAGTTCTGTCTCGTGTGAAAACCTGTTCTTAGTTGTTGTCTGTTACTGACAGGCGAGATGTGGAGTGTGCAGAGAACATGTACATTGACATGATGCTGTGGCGCCACGCTCGACACCTGCTGGAGCAGGTGCGCCTCCGTGACCTTGGTTGTTTCTCTGCTCAGCTTGGCTTTGAGCTCATTGGCTGGTTGTGTCGTGAAAGAAACCGCGTCGCTAGGGTTGAAGATTTTGTTTTTGCATTAAAAATTCTACATAAAGATTTCCTGTGGCCATTTCCTGTTATCCCTGTTGGCTGTATTAATTCTCCACTAAAGAATGGAAAGTGTCGGCCAGGTCAGTATACATGTGCTCCAAATAATGTTTTTGAATGTGCTCTAAATCATCCTTAATTTGTGTTGATAGTGCTGAGCACCAGGTTGTTAAAGTCTGGGTCGGCTGACAGTCTTTTGCACAGCGACATGGACACAGCACCTCTTCAGACCACTCAAAACACCAGCACGTGGATAGATGGCATGGCTCAGAGGACCACAGACATGGACACAGCTTCCTCTGCTCTCTCAAACCAACAGTCACCACAGACCCAAGATGCTTTTCTCTCTCTCATCACAAACAAAGGTTCCAGACCGTGCTTATTATTTTGTACATAGAAGCATGCAGTAGGTTATATCTAACCTTATGTCTTACCTTTTAGTGGAGGAATACAGCATTGGCTCAGCTACTGACCTGACAGAGACGAGTTCAATGGTGGATGGAGACTGGACAATGGTCGATGAAAACTCTTCAACACTATGCTTGAGCCAAGCAGAATTGGAGCATATTTCCATGGAGCTGGCAAACAAGGGCCCACACAGGTCTCAAGTTCAACTCAGGTGAGTCTAGTTTAAACCATGTGAATAGTCTGGTTTAATTTGATTATTATATTTATTATTATTATTATTATTATTATTATTGCCAGGTACCTCCTGCATGTGTTCATGGAAGCAGGCTGTCTTGAGTGGTGTGTTGTTATTGGTTTGATCTTGAGAGATGCCAGTGTCATCAAGCAGGTAATCAGCTTCTTGGATCACCCAGAAATTCCACCAGAAACTGTAAAGAACATTAAAAATGGCTTATTAGCTGTTGAGGCATGGGCTTCCACAGACTGGTAAGTATATGCTGACTTAGGTTTACCTTTAGGGGAATGTTCCTAATATCAAATTTAATACTCTTTTCTTTGTGATAATTTCAGTTTGGGATACAAACCATTTTTCAACTTAATCCAAGCACAGTTACAGCAGCTGCTGGAATCCACAACTGAACAGATACAAGTGGAAGCATTTCAGCCCAGCAGCCAGTCAAAGCTAGGGGGCGCTGAGGGGCAAATATGTCCTGCAAGCCCTCGGCCTGAAGACAGTCGCGGAGGTACCACTCCACTAGGCCTGACGCTGCCCAGCCTAGAGCCTGTGGGGGGCTTTTCCCGGCCCTTGTCTGAGGACTGTCCAGACGAACCGATAAAGGAGCAGGAGGACGAGGAGGGAGCTTATGACTGCACCTTGTCCTGAAGTGTTGGACTCAAACTTGAATCTGTTGAACTCTTACTGGAGATAGACTTACAGGCCCTACTTCAGTCAGTATTAGCCACTCTTTAGTGTTGACTGTAATGCAGTGCCATCAGGACTTCAGCACAACCCAAGCTCATTCACTTTGACTTTTCCTTATGGAGAGATGATAAGATAAGTGTTATGTACCAACTTTTAGGCATTTTGATTTTGACGGATTGAAAATCAAAACGACTCTCTAAAGTATGTTTCAGCCTTTGGAAATTGTGCACTTTATGTGTACAGAACTTTTTCATACCTCATGATTTTAAAATATTTTCTGAAAGCCTTTTTATAGAGTAACAGTACAAACATATTTTTCTATATGGCCAGTGCTGTCCTATTTCCATATAAAAATATATATGAAATGCAAAATGACAAAATGGTTTAGAATTTTTTACAGAAATTATGAAAGGATTCTGTATTACTAGTTTCTTACCAGCCAACAGTACAGCTGCTCATGTATTTTTCACTAACCCTATGAGGCTGTAACAAAATCCCCTCCACTCTGACCATCCTGAGTGATGGGAACTGGAGCCAGTATCGGTTATTTACTTTCCTCGAACAAGTAAAGCAAACATCAGTGTTGAGGTGAGCTCTCAGTGTGAGAGTGCTGAACAGGCCAGATTTAAAGCTGCAGTGCAGTGAGGGGCCTGGCCAACTCCATTGTGTGGTGAGCAAATGTAAAACACTTTATCCACTCACATTTAAGTTTGTATATTTTGTGAAATGTAGGGTATGAGTTTAACAGCCTCATGTAAACCTGATGGGCCCATAAGTGTTGAGCTTTTGTATGGGTTTGATAGGGTGTACTATATTGTTGAAATCACTTTGATAAAGTGGTGGATATTTCATTGATTTTTATTGTATTATACATATTATTTATTGGCATTGTTGTGTTTTATTGCTGTGTAGCTTAGTGATGTGCTCAGCTGTCTTAAGACTGGTGAACATTTAGTTAATTAAACTTGTGAATTGGCTCAAAGCACAAAAGTGTGTCACCTGAAAGTCAGTATTAGTTTGTCCAATGTTTTAAGATGTTGTTTGGCTTTACCTTTATTTTTTGATTAATTTTAATCGCTTAACTTTATCCAAACTTGCTTTTACTTTCTCAGGTTCACCCATTTTTTTCCATAGGAACTTTTGCTATTTTGCCTGTTTAAAGTAACCATTGATATCTTTATTATTAAAACTGAGTTTTTCCATGACAGGACAAATGACACCATGGTACAGTCAGTGTGGCTTATGTTGACACCGCAGAGGGCCTAGATATGACAAAGCCTACAGCTACACAATGCTGCTCCGCTGTAAGCTTTACTTGAATAACTGACAAACCAAAGACTATGTCAAGAGAGGCCTTCACTTTGCTCCATTTATTGTTTTGGTTCATTATTTAAACTTGAATTTCCTATTCATCACAAACGATTTAAGAAATAAACTGGTGATGACTGCCTGACAATTTCCTAAGGAAATGTGTAATTCAGATCTTTGTTTTTATTCCTGTGGGTTAGGGGGTGTGGGAGATGGTGCCACCTTAATGTACGTTTTAAGGTAATGCCTGCTTGATTGAAGATGAGTTCAGTGTTGTAAAAATACAGTTGTACAATTGTCTTTTCTATAACATTTTCTACTCTATTTCCCCTTGTATATAAAACATGAATAAATTATTTTTTAAAAGGAGAAATGCTTTTGTGTATGTAAAATGAACAAAAAGTGTTTTAGTCATTTTAATAGCTGTAGAAGTGCTACTAATAAAAGCTTTTGCATAAATCATTCCAGTCAATCACATGGGATACCCTGTAACAAGCATCAACATCCCAACCACCATCAGATCAAAAATCCCCCAAAAAACAAGTGAGAACCATGTGAAATTACTTCTACCAAAATAAATGTTACAGAAAGCACATTTTAACATTTATGACATTCAAACATTTAACAAAGAAAAATGAGTGTGGAGAAAATGTGTATTTTGACTGCTACCTTTGTCATAGCTACATCCACCATCTGCAACTTAATATGGCAGAAAAATAAAGACTTGAAAGGTCTCATTGTTCAATATCACCAGTAGTTAAAGTTAAACTTGTAGCAGCATTGGTGTATCAGAAAGACTACAACACATTGATATTTGCCTGCTTCACCATGCAGCAGCTATGGACTCCCCATATATTTAAATCTTTAAAACATGAAAACATTTTCAATCCATTCTTTATACCTCTTTAAAAAAGCATTTATTTTTATTTATTTAAAAAAATCTCTACAGCAATCATCATGTTTTGCATATTTTTTCCTTTTTTTTTTTTGGTAAACATGCCTTTTGTCCATTGCCCATTGAAACTCTACTATTATACTGTCTGACAAACTAAAACCTTGAGGGGATTTCAGAAATAGTGGAAAGGTCACTGTCAGCTGGCTATATTAGAATACTTTAACATCTTTAATATTTACCGCTCCTGCGTCAATGTTTGTTTCTCTGGGAAGATGTTAAGGCCATCGTTTCAGTTTTATGTTAAATCAACAGGTGACATTTAGAACATAAGTGAAACATGGTGGACAATCAGGTGTGGTTTTTCAAGTGCAAACTCCCAAGACAGAAAAACTGAAAGAATAACTTCCAAACAACATTTGTGTTGGGAGAGACAACAATGGTGAAGTGCAATTGGTTATACATACAACTAGACTTCCTAAACAGAGTTAAACACAGTTAAACAACTATCTAAACTCATTCCACTAGTTGTCAAATCAGATGAAAACTTCAGGAATAAACACAAGGTCAGTGGTTCCTAAATGGTAGGTCAACATCACTAGGCAATACAAGGGATGATTCCTCTAATCCAAAATACAGTCACAAGTTTCATGTTTGTGTAAAAAGTGGATCACAACAGCAGTTAACCACAAATTGGGTTTGGAAAAAAAAAAAGACAAAGCACCAAGCAAACTGCAGGTAATCTGCATCTACACACCTTTTACAGGCTTGAGGTTAGACCTTAACATCATAAATAAAAATATTAAATCTCCCATGCTTTTGAATGTTTGTTGACGTAACATAACCAAGTCAGTTTACATTAATGTGGAAAATCTCCAGTTATATTAACAAGTTATTTGGTAGCAGGACATTGTTAAGAGGCCCACTCAAGTTTATAAAAATAGTCCTATCCTCTTACAGTAATGTTGTTCTTCTCTGTGTGAGAGATGTTGATGACATTCATGAGGAGTAATGTTACTTGTTTCTCTTCACACCTCAGCAGCTCACAGCTTAGGAACCACCAAACACCACAGGTCAATTACACTATCCCTGTTCTTGTAGGTTTCCCATAACTCTTAAAAGAAAAAGCCAGCCGTGACTTCAAACTTAAAAAAGGTACACTATGTAACTTTCCTATTGGTGGGTACACCACCTGCTTGTCTCTATGGAGTTGTGTAAGTTGTTGTGTTACTACAGACAGATAAGTTTAATGCCATACTGTAAAACATTTCAGGCAAAGCATTTAAAATCTCCATAGAGACAAATGGGGCATGCTCCTTGCCACAAAAGCTGCATACTGCACAGTCTTTACCCAAAGACATCAGCAAAATAAGACTTTAAAACAAATATATTTATTTCCATGACTAGATTTTAAAACAGTTATTTATATCCTATTTGGTTCTTTCACAGTATAGTGCTGATTATTAGCATTCCTCATAAAAATGTGAGAGGTATAGTACAGAGGCTACAAATCAGCTGTAATGAGGAATGGTCATGAGCAATATCGCATAAACAAAATCTAATGTGTGTTGGCATAAAGTAATAGGAGGCGTTTCCCTCCCTTATCAAGACAAACAAATAACAGGCAGCCATGTGATTATTAAGGAAGAGTGTTAACAGAGAGAGAATTAGATCAAGTCAGTGGCTGAGGATGAATGCAGTGCAATGAGGTGATTAAAATAAAGGCACAACAGATCAAGTAAATAAACTTAACTCCTTTTTCTGTCGATCCAGGAGCAAGCACATGACCACAGTGGCCGGTGCAGCAGTTGGTCAGTGAGCTGTGACCGCTCCTGACCAGAGAGGCATGTCTCTTCCTGTTGTTAGCTAATACTAGCCCGCTGACACAGTGGTGATGGTCTCCCTCTCAACCTCACTGGAGAGAGCATGTGTATTTAGTGACAAGGCCAGAAGTTTATATTGAGTCTGAAGCCCTCAACTTCTTGTTCCACAGTCGACTTAGTATCTATACATGTCATATGTACTGACCCAAGATGACGGGAAAGACCAATCAGGAAATCTGTTAAGGATTTCTTGGAGCTGAGCAGTCCTCTGGTCTTTACCAAAAAAATAGTGAGAAGAAATGGCCACTGAGATTGTCCCCTCTGGCCCTGAGGGGTCTGGATCCTTTGGAGGCTAAAAAGTAATTTTGAAAAACATTATATTTGTCATAATCAAAAGCATGTTCTCTATAAATATTTTTTTTTATTTACCTGAATTTCAAACCAGAATGTCCAAGCAGGGGCATCAACGCCATGAGAGTAAAAGATAAAATACTCTCCGCTGAGATCATATTGAGGCACTCCATCCCCAAAAGACCAGGTAGACAGGCTGGCTCCACGATGAGGCATCAAATACAAAGACATGTGACTCGGACCTGATCACAAAGTGACGTGAAGGTTTTCAAATGTTAACTGAATAATACTGGTCATAATAGTGAAGGAGGCTGAAAGCAATACAATTTTACTCAGTTAAAATCCTAATAACGTTTCGGAACCCAGACCTTTGGCACGGAATGTCATCTTGATTGTTCCCCAACTAGTCTCTTCTTTGGACAGCAGGCTGAACTCCACAGGAGAGGTCGGCATCACTTCTGCAGCAGGAAGGTACCAGTTTTTCCTACAAGTTCAAAACTTATTCAAGCTGTTGCATGAAGAACAGTAAAATTTATGGAAGAGTTTTATGACCAACTTGCTGAGGAACTTCACAGGGAGGAACCACGGGTAGCCACAAAATGGCCGGTCTTCTTGACAGTGAGTTCGAACTGTGTCGTTGATCTCTGGGATGTGAGGTGATATGTGCTGAACAGCTGTGAAATCAAAGCTGTTGATCCAAAGACCGGAGTCCTGACTTTCCACTTGCCCTTGAAGATTGTGGAAAGTCCGTGTTGTATGCTACAGTGAATGCAAGAGAAAAACAAGAAATAAAACACACTGTATGAAAGTTATCTGATTTAAGTGTGCAAAAGTTTTTCTACCTGAATAAAAACTCTTTTAGGCCTTGGACTGTCTGGGCGGCCTGAATATGGGAAGAACAGCCCTGACGACACAAACAGGAACATAACAAGAAAAACAGAGCCCAATCCAGCCAGGATCCACTTGGTGCTTCGAACCAGGTAAATAAAGTGAAGCTGAGGCAGAAAATATTATTTCTGAGTGAAACAAGCATGTTTTACAATTTAACATAGACACTGTTAAAACTTACAAAATAAGAGGATAGGAAGATGGTTGCCAGTGTAACTAACGTAGCCAGGACCACTTCAGGGGGGAGTTCAGTGCCACTGCGGCCCATTATGGGTGTGAAGATCTCAAACACCACCCAGAGGAGGAACATAAAGTGGACG